AAAGAGTGATCTCTGGGCAAGTGGTATTCCAGGCTGGCCCATTCAATGGCAAGGGGGACCTCATTTCTTCCACAAACCAAAGGGAAGCCACCTGGAGCTGGGAGAGATTCCCCTGCTGCAGCTGTGAGGTTCATTATAAGGGCAGTGGAGCTGAGGTTTGTGGAGATAAGGACTTATCCTGGGGCAAACATCAGCCTGTTCCTTGAGACGAGCAGTGGGACCGTGGGGAGAAACTTGGGGCTCTGGGGGTACTCCGCACATGGGTTTGTGTTACCTGCTCTTGAACATTTCTTAGGATGGTGGTTCCACAACTTCTCCAGGCAGCCTGCTCCAATCCTTGACCACCCGCATAGTAAAAAAAGTTCCTCCTAATCTCCAACCTACATTTTCTCTGCTGCAATTCGAGCCTATTGCTCTTAGATCCTGTCCCTTAAAGCCACAGAGAAAAGCCCATCTCCATCCCCTCTGTAATCACCCTTCAGATATTTGAAGACTGTTATTGAATCTCCACCTCAGTCTTCTCTTCTCTGGGCTAAATAATCCTAATTTCAGCCTTTCCTCATGAGTCATGTTTTTCAGCCCTCTAATTATTTTTGTTGCTCTCCACGGGACTCTTCAATCTGTCCACATCTTTCTTGAAGGGCACAGCCCACAGCAGGACATCAGGTGAGGCATCCCCAGTGCTGAATGGGGTGGGAGAATCACTTCTCTTGATTTACAAGTGATACTCTTATTTCACACTTGTCCTTGTTGAATATTTCATTTGAATGATTTAAGAGCGTGTCTCCAGTTTATCAAGGTTATTGTGAATCGTAGCCCCTACCCTCCAGTGTGTCTACAACTCCACACAACTTGGTATCATCTGGAAATTTGGAAAACATGTACTCAGTCCCATCATCCAGATCATTAATAAAACTATTAAAAAATACCAGACCCAGGACGTACCTTTGGGGAACCCTACTTGACACTGAGCCATTGATGACTACTCCCTGAGCATGTTGATCCAGTACTTTCATCTAGTCTGTGTTTCCTTAGTTTGTGAGGAACTATAATTAGAATGACTATCTACCATTAGGACGGCAGGAGCATAGAAGTTAAAGACGGACAAGGCCCATTAGCCAATCTGTTTCTTTTCCTGTCTGGGATAGCATTATTCCTCGCAGAGTAATCCCTACCATTTCACAAAGTCCACTTTTAAGATCAAGGAATGAGGTTTCCACCCGCTCCCTTGGGAAACTCCTAAGATGTGGCATATTGCCCCAGGCCTTCTATGACTCATAACATTTCCTCACCTGTTTTGGTTCCTGGCCTATTTTCATAATTGTCCTGTACTAATAATATCCTGAAAGATCTTCCAAAGCATCCTATACAAGTGAAAATAAGGCAGTGGAGTTGTAATTACCCAGGGTGTCCCAAAGGCCAGGAAAATAGCAGCCTTATTACATTCTTGACAAAATAAAGTTATAAAAGGTCCATTTGGATGGCATTAGCCCTGATCCATGAAGGTATCCCCGTTCATTGTTCTCTCTTCCCTCCCATTCCTTATGCAAGTGCATTGGTCCCAACCCTGGATGTCTAATCTGCTTGTACCATTTTTTAAATATTTAATGGTTTCATAGTTTCATAGATATTAGGGTCAGCAGGGACCTATTAGATCATCGAGTCCGACCCCCTGCCCCGGGCAGAAAAGAGCGCTGGGAACAGATGTCTGTCCAATCTCTTGATGTCCAGTCTGAATTTGATCTCTTTCAGTTTGTGGTCATTATTTCTAGTTACCCCGACGGGCGCCCTGGTAAACAGTGTTTCCCCTATTTCTTGCCTGATGAGTTTGTAGGCAGCCACTAGATCACCTCTCAGCCTCCTCTTGCGGAGGCTGAAGAGGTTCAGGTCTCCTTATGCAATCTGTGCAATTGCCAGCTCTTTGTAACATGGCACCTCCTCCTACTTGATTCTACTGCATGCTGCAGGACTGGCTCTGTGGATGTGGTAGATCTTGACTTTAGCAAGGTTTTGATGTGGTTTCCTGCAAGATTCTTGCAGGCAAGCTAAGGAAGTATGGCTTGGATGAATGGACTGTAAGATGGATAGAAAGCTGTCTGGAGCATCAGGCTCAGATGATCTAGTTGGCAGCTGGTGTCAAGTGGAGTGCCCCAGGGGTCAGTCCTGGGACCAGTTTTATCAGATATCTCCATCAATGACCTGGAAGATGGCACAGAGTGCACCCTCAGCAAGTTTGCAGATGATACCAAGCTGGGAGGTATCAGAGATATGCTGGAGGGCAGGGCTAGGATTCAGAGTGGCCTAGACAAATTGGACGATTGGGCCAAAAGGAATCTCATAAAGTTCAATGTGAACAAATGCAAAGTCCTGCACTTTGGATGGAGCAATCCCATGCACCGGCGCAGGCTGGGGTGACTGGCCGGGCAGCAGCTCTGCAGAAAAGGACCTAGGGGTTGCAGTGGACAAGGAGCTGAATATGATCCAGCAGTGTGCCCTTGCTGCCAAGAAGGCTACCGGCATCCTGGGCTGCATTGGTAGGAGCATCGCCAGCAGATCGAGGGGAGGGATTCTGTCCCTCTACTCAGCACTGGTGAGGCCACATCTGGAGTACTGGGTCCAGTTTTGGGTCCCCCACTACAGAAAGGATGTGGACAAATTCAGCAGAGTCCACTGGAGGACCACAAAAATGGTTAGGGGCCTCAGGCACATGACTTGTGAGGAGAGGCTGCGGGAAGTGGGCTTATTTAGTCTGGAGACGAGAAGACTGAGGGGGATTGAATAGCAGCCTTCAACTCCTTGCAGGGGGGTTGCAAAGTGGTTGGAGCTGGACTGTTCTCGGTGGGGGCAGATGACAGGACAAGGAGCAATGGGCTCAAGTTGCAACAATGGAAGTTTAGGTTGAATATTAGGAAAAATGTGCTCACTAGGAGGGTGGTGAAGCACTGGAACAGGTTACCCAGAGAGGTGGTGGCATCTCCATCCTTAGAGGTATTTAAAACCTGGGTAGATAAAGCCTTGGCTGGGATGATGTAGTTGGGGCTGGTCCTGCTTGGAGCAGGGGTTGGACTAGATGTGACCTCCTGAGGTCCCCAACAACCCTCATTGTCTATGATGCCATGACTGTGATAGCCTGGTATCTCCACTGTTTGCCCATCTGATCTATCGCTGGTTCTTTACCACCCTTCTCAAGCACCTTCTGTCCTTTCTCATTGCTTTGTCTTCATTAGGGACCAAGTTCTCCGTGTCTTAACCGACAAAGAAGAACACATTGCATTACTCAGGGAACTAGAGGAATCAGAAGACCTGCAGGTAAGTGTTGATGTAGAGACCCTGTATAACTATTAAGTCTAAAAAGTGCATTTCTACCCTGCCTTCTGGCTAGGACGAGCCGCTATAGTGAGCCACAGGCATGCTACCTTGGGCTATCATCTCCTCTGCTCTCCTACATTAAGGAGAGCCATAAATCATGTCGTATTTTCATGGGAGGCATCCTGGGAAAAACAAATTATTTCGGGAAGCTGGGCATGTAGTAGATAGTGCTCTCTGTTCTGGCAATGGCCTATGGCTGAGCCTGGAATTGGAAGGGCCAGGATGGAGGACCACCCGCAGGTTAAATATACAATGGAGATCCCGACTACCTGCCATCATGGAAGATCCAGATCCAAACGCTCCATTTCTGGCAGTTCAAATTAGTGTTTTGCCAAAATTAAAAATGTGGATAATTAAACGATGAGACTCTCCCTCAGATACCAGCTGCAATGGAAATACTTTTCCTCCAGACTTTATGTCCCAGATGGCTTTGCATTATGTAGAGCAGAGCCAGTCCTGCCAAAAATGCATTTTCAAATGGTTGGTCAACCATTCAACTTAATGTTCTCCCACTGGGCTCATCTCCCTGCTGTGTTTGCTTTCTGAGGATATTCTAGCAACCAGGTTCAGACAGGAGCAGCAGTCTGCAAACAGATATTGCACAATAATCATATAAAGCAGGTTACAGTTTGGCACTGCGAGCATTTGCACTGGAAACTCGATTTGAAGAGTTACATTCACCCAGTCACAGGGCAACTATCCCATGTGACCTCTGTGTGTGTCCAGTGAGTCACAAATATCGACTATTCACTGAATTCTGCACAGAAAAAACTTCACAAATGGCTTCTAGACTGAAAGATATTTATGTAAAATATTCACTGAATGAGGAACAAACTTGTAGAAATCACGTAGAACAAATGTGTTGAAATCTGTTCATGGACAATTCGCCGTTAAATAAAGGGGCTAAATTCAGTGAATACATTTTTTGCAATGAATAATTCAGCAGCTCCAATACTGGTACCACATTCTCTTTAACACTCACCAAGTTCTGTCTTAGAGGCAGCTGAAGACATTTGTTCTGGGGTTTTTTTTTGAAAAATGTCCCTTTGTCCTCACGGAACTAAATAGAGTATTTCCCCTTATCTACAGTCTAGTATTTGCTCTCTACTGGGCTCATCTACACATGCACGTTAATGCACATTAGCCTATTTTAATGCACATTAAAGCATCACAAAAAACATGCTTTTTAGTTAATGCACCTTAAAATAGGCTAGTGCGCATTGAGCATCACTTAAAAACCGTGGATGCCTGTATTTGAGTACAGAGTTCAAGTGCCCCTGCCGCCATTTTGAAGTGTGGGGACACTGATATACGAGACACGGGAGGCAGCCACTCTAATTAAGTGGGGCGCCACTCTAATTAAAGTGCTGCCCTCCCCCAGCCCCAGGAGCATATGTAAAAGTACTCCGAGGTAGCAGATTTAATATGCATTAACTAAAGCATATTAATGCATGTGTAGACACGACCACTGTGTATGAATTTTGTCTGGTGCTTACAGCATCTGCCATTCTCAGATGGTCTCCCATTAAAATCCTAGCCATGCCTAGTGGTGCTTAGCTTCTGAAATCAGGCGTAGTTGCTATGGCATGACTGTAGGTATATACCTGCAGATTAGTTGGCATTTCTATAAACCAGTTTGGATGCTTAATAATTAGAGATCAAGATCACTGTGGCATGGGAGTCGAGCATGATCTGTGGGCTCGCATGCTTTTGTAGCTAACAACAAAAAAGGGATTGGTGTGGCCAACATCACATCTGGAGATATATGACTCCCCAGCCTGTATGACCAGTTACCCAGTTACAGCTCAATCAATGGCATGAGCCTAGAAACAGGCTGGTACTACTCATGCCCCTGAATCAAGATACCTGCCCACTCTGCAATCACACCCCCCATTTAGAGATGAGGCACTAAATGAGACAAGAAGCTATTATGATATGACTGTCACTGACTCTTTGGACCCAGCTCTCATGTATATCTCTGTGGTTTCTGGAAACCCATAGGTAGAACAATATAGAGGTGTAAATTAAGCTAATCTGTCTTTTTTTCCCCCCTCGATCAGCTTGACTATTGGGATGTCCCTTCCAAGCTTGGCCTCCCACTGGATGTGAGAGTCCCCTCCCAGAGCCTCCAGCTTGTCAAAACCTTCCTGGAGTCCAACAGCATCCCGTATACCACCATGATAGAGGATGTACAGGTAAGGACCAGATGCAAGACAACAGCGTCACCGTCGCAGGTGAAGTCTGAGTCCGGTAAGCAGGAGGGCACACAGAATGAGCAAAAGGATAGCTGAAAAAGCAGTATCTCTTCCCACTGGACAAAACCCATCCTACCTTGGGAATGAAATGTCCCCTTGTTGGCCCTGTCAGCAGAGATGGCACATCATCAGCACAGCGTGATGGAAGCAGTTTCTGCTCAATGGATCTGTAGAGCCCTGCCGTCTCCAGCCTCTTTCATGAGCATTTAATTCGCTAAGGCTATTTTTGGATAAAGAAGGGATTTGATCACAAGGGTGATTGGCCCCTGAATGTTAACCAGAAAGACTACAGCTGCTTTTTCATATGTGCTTGGGGCTTATAACATCTTCTCTAGTGGTTGACCTTAGTGACTACAAGAACCTGTTACTTGGTGGGGGCTAAAGGAGTTGTTCCTTTAGCTCAGCTAAAGGGGTTTGTGCTGTTTGGTGAACTCCTGCTGGTGACTGCACAGCATACGACAGCCGTGCAGTCCACGTGGGGGGAAAAAAAGCACAGTTCCTGCCCTCATCTATGTATGTGCTTTTTGAATAGAAATTACTGGATGAAGAAAAAAGGGCCATGAGGCGGGCCAGAAAGTTGAAGAGGAGCTGCAGCTGGTCTGAATTCTTCTCCTTCTACCACACCCTAGACGAGGTACTTCCTTGAGCAGCGGGTTCTCTCCTTTGTGGCCCAATGGTTCAAACCAGGTCATGGGCAGCTCCACCACATCATGGTCAGCTCCACCACGTTGTGGTCAGGCTCCACCACGTCACGGTCAGCTCCACCACACTGTGGTCAGGCTCCACCACGTCATGGTCAGCTCCCCCACGCTGTGGTCAGGCTCCACCACATCATGGTCAGCTCCACCACGTTGTGGTCAGGCTCCACCACGTCACGGTCAGCTCCACCACACTGTGGTCAGGCTCCACCACGTCATGGTCAGCTCCCCCACGCTGTGGTCAGGCTCCACCACATCATGGTCAGCTCCACCACGTTGTGGTCAGGCTCCACCACGTCACGGTCAGCTCCACCACACTGTGGTCAGGCTCCACCACGTCATGGTCAGCTCCCCCACGCTGTGGTCAGGCTCCACCACATCATGGTCAGCTCCACCACGTTGTGGTCAGGCTCCACCACGTCACGGTCAGCTCCACCACACTGTGGTCAGGCTCCACCACGTCATGGTCAGCTCCCCCACGCTGTGGTCAGGCTCCACCACATCATGGTCAGCTCCACCACGTTGTGGTCAGGCTCCACCACGTCACGGTCAGCTCCACCACACTGTGGTCAGGCTCCACCACGTCATGGTCAGCTCCCCCACGCTGTGGTCAGGCTCCACCACATCATGGTCAGCTCCACCACGTTGTGGTCAGGCTCCACCACGTCACGGTCAGCTCCACCACACTGTGGTCAGGCTCCACCACGTCATGGTCAGCTCCCCCACGCTGTGGTCAGGCTCCACCACATCATGGTCAGCTCCACCACGTTGTGGTCAGGCTCCACCACGTCACGGTCAGCTCCACCACACTGTGGTCAGGCTCCACCACGTCATGGTCAGCTCCCCCACGCTGTGGTCAGGCTCCACCACATCATGGTCAGCTCCACCACGTTGTGGTCAGGCTCCACCACGTCACGGTCAGCTCCACCACACTGTGGTCAGGCTCCACCACGTCATGGTCAGCTCCCCCACGCTGTGGTCAGGCTCCACCACATCATGGTCAGCTCCACCACGTTGTGGTCAGGCTCCACCACGTCACGGTCAGCTCCACCACACTGTGGTCAGGCTCCACCACGTCATGGTCAGCTCCCCCACGCTGTGGTCAGGCTCCACCACATCATGGTCAGCTCCACCACGTTGTGGTCAGGCTCCACCACGTCACGGTCAGCTCCACCACACTGTGGTCAGGCTCCACCACGTCATGGTCAGCTCCCCCACGCTGTGGTCAGGCTCCACCACATCATGGTCAGCTCCACCACGTTGTGGTCAGGCTCCACCACGTCACGGTCAGCTCCACCACACTGTGGTCAGGCTCCACCACGTCATGGTCAGCTCCCCCACGCTGTGGTCAGGCTCCACCACATCATGGTCAGCTCCACCACGTTGTGGTCAGGCTCCACCACGTCACGGTCAGCTCCACCACACTGTGGTCAGGCTCCACCACGTCATGGTCAGCTCCCCCACGCTGTGGTCAGGCTCCACCACATCATGGTCAGCTCCACCACGTTGTGGTCAGGCTCCACCACGTCACGGTCAGCTCCACCACACTGTGGTCAGGCTCCACCACGTCATGGTCAGCTCCCCCACGCTGTGGTCAGGCTCCACCACATCATGGTCAGCTCCACCACGTTGTGGTCAGGCTCCACCACGTCACGGTCAGCTCCACCACACTGTGGTCAGGCTCCACCACGTCATGGTCAGCTCCCCCACGCTGTGGTCAGGCTCCACCACATCATGGTCAGCTCCACCACGTTGTGGTCAGGCTCCACCACGTCACGGTCAGCTCCACCACATTGTGGTCAGGCTCCACCATGTCACGGTCAGCTCCACCACGTCATGGTCAGCACAAACCAGGTCGTAGTCGACGCCTATGCTGTAGGACTAAGGGAGAATATTGTGGGAAGATTTTCCAAGAAAGGTTCATTTCAAACAGATCCCCTTGCTTCTTCTTTGCCGAGAAGCAAAACTTCACCCAAGAAACCCAACCATCAGTGCTTTCTGTCTTTGCATGGAGCTAGGCATTTTCTGAGCAGCTGCTTTCTCAGCGGTGCATCCAAACGTTAGGTGTGTTCAGAGCCTTGATGGTGGGTGATGGACCTTGCTTAAGAGCAGGGGGTGTCAGTGCTCTTTAAACAGTGCTCCACAGTCACCCCAGGATCATTGTCACTGGTTCCCATGCTCCTCTGCAGAAGGACATGGGAACGAGCACAATAATATGAACCTCTGGTCTACAAATGTAAGCGGCCAAACCAGTTCCCTCCTATGAAGGTCTCTTAGTGTGTCAGCGGAGCAGCTTCCCAGCTGTCGTAGGCATTCGGTGGTCATCCTCTAGGAGCTGAGACTAGTTAGCTGAGAGCAAGGACAGAATGAAACACAAGGCTAGTTTGATGAACGTGAGTTAAAATGCTTCCTCTCAGATCTACAGCTGGATGGACTATCTCGTGGCCCGACATCCCAACCTGGTCAGCAAAATTCAGATTGGAGAGAGCTATGAAAAGCGGCCTCTTTATGTGCTCAAGGTAGGTGTTTCACAACATGGCAGTTGTTTGACGTGGGCTCCCATCAGCAATCCCATGGGAGTCAATGGAAATATGCATATGTTTAACATTAGGCACTCAGTTCCTTGCTGAGAGGAAGTCTGGATCAGCAGGCAAGCGCACTTCTCCTGTACAGTATATATATCCCCCCATATATCTCACTAACACCATTTCAGTATTGCTAGATCTGACAAAGTGTTACACTCAGTGGCGTAACGTGGTGTGGTTGAGCGGGGCACCTGCCAGGGTGCCAGAAAGAAGATGGGGTGCCTCCCTCTGCCGTGCCCTGCTCCACTGGTCCTACTTGCTTGCACACTGCAGCAGTGTAGGCAATAGCTGTCGAGTGCAAGGTCTTCTGGGAACTGTAATTTTGTAGTGTGGCAGGGGCGTTCACTGCTGCTGGGGGAAGAATCGACCCCATTTTCTACCGCCAAAATCAGCAATATTTTTGTCCTCCTGGCATGACTTTTGGTGGCAAAAAAATGGAGTGACTGTTCCTCCCAACTGGAGTGCAATCCAATGTCACTCCAGGGAACTACAAGTCCCAGAATGCCTTGCACTCCATGACACACTGTCTGCACCTGCTGTTTTGCGTGCTGCCATGCATGGGAAGGTGAGCGAGGTCTGCCCTGGGCACATTATTTGCATACTACATTTCTGGTTATATCCCTGCAGAGTCTGAGGAGACCCACCCTACACTTTTAAGGGACACATGTAATGAAGGGTAATGAGCACTGAGAGTCTAGAAAAGTGTGACAACCATAACAGCCTACACCCCTACAACCATAACAAGAGGTGTTAATGCATTCACCCCACAGAGCCCAAGGGAAATTGCACACACTACTTGAAAAGGGAGGGCTCTTGCTTCACTTGTCTCTACAGACCTGCTCTATCAAGACACCAACTTACAGGCCTTACACAATCAGAACAAACTATTCACCCTGCAAATGTGCATGCACAATTTTCCACCCACCAGTGCCTGAGCTGTGGTTAATGTTGGCATGTTCTGTTTGTTGCAGTTCAGCACTGGGAAAAGTCGCTATCGTGCCATCTGGATTGATACCGGCATTCACTCTCGTGAGTGGATCACCCAAGCCACCGGTGTGTGGATTGCCAACAAGGTAATTTAGTAAATACCTCTCCTTCCCAAAGAGCTGAGAGGTAGCAGTGGCAGCGGGGAAGTCACTGGGAACAGGGTGTTTCATCAGCCCATCGCAGTGATGGGGGTGTCCATCTCAACCGGGTCTTATTGAACTGAACCCACGTGGAGTTCACTCTTGGTAGAACCGTAGAAATGTAGGTTCGGAAGAGACTTCAAGAGACCACCCCATCCACCCCTTGCACTGAGACAGCCTCAAGTATAGCTAGACTGTCCCCAACAGATATCAATTTAATCCAGTAAAGAGATTACACAGCTGCCTGACCTAGCCTAGTCCAGTGTCTCACCACCTTTGCAGTTAGAAAAGTTTTTCTTAAAATCCAATCTAAAACCTTCCTCGCTGCCATCAGGCTGGTTTCCTCCTGTCCTGTCCTGATTGATCATGGAGAAGAATTGATCATCCTGCTCATTATAACAGTATTGCAATATTGGAACTCAGTTAGCATGTCTCCTCTTGGAGCTTCCTCTTCAAGACTATGTTGACATCAACAGATTGGTAGATTAGTGTCCCTGGGGTTGTTGCATGGGCATTAGAAATTGAGTTGAGACTACTGCCTAATTTTGGATGAGTATATTTTAAAGTAAGACAGACTCTATAAATCTTCTAATCTGACCTCCTACAGATTGCACTCATTACATTTCATCCAGTTACTGCTGTAGAGAGGTCACTAATTTACCTTTAGCTGAAGCATCTTCCAGAAAGGCATCCAGGCTTGAGGACCTCAAGAGATGGGGAATCTACCACTCCCTTTGGTAGCTGGTGGCAAGAGGCCTAATTTCTAATTGCATGTTTGAAATGATGTCTGGCACCCGTTTTCAGTCATTGTTTTGTTCTACTTTCCCCCCAAATTAGGCCTAGTCTCATACAGGACCCTAGATTGTTGTCATTTGAACTGTAATGGATCAGCAGCTATGAGCCTCCACACTGCAACAAAACAACCCATAATAATTCAAGCCTTCTGTCCATGCAGATAGCCACTGAATATGGCAAGAATGCCTCCCTGACCGCCCTTCTAGACTGCATGGACATCTTCCTGGAGATAGTTGCCAACCCTGATGGCTTTGCATATACTCACAGCCATGTAAGTACCTGCTCAGGACGGGGGAGGTGTGACAGGAGGAGGAGGGGGCTGGGTCCCCAGCTGTATTACCCATGTATGCAGGGACAGCTTTAGGCACGAGCCATGTCAGGGACTTTTTGGGGCACTATCATTTTTTGAGGCGGAGAAGCCCTGTCCATGATGTTGTCCTCCATGGTGGGCCCTGCATCCCGCCGGGATGGAGAGCTATGTGCTGGGTTTTGTGCTGCCCGCATTTGATCTGAAAGTGGGGCATGCAGCTGAGCCAGGTGAGAAGTGCTGGCTGCAGAATTTGTACAGTTACTGTATTTACTCAGTTCCAAGACAAGGTATTTTCCCTCTATTTAACACTGGGAAAAAAGCCCTTTATGTCAGAATTGAATACGAGGTGTGGGGGAGCAAGGGTGGTACAGGCAGCTGCTGTGGCTCTAGTTTCACCCCGGGTCAGGGCCAGACCTGCAGCTGCTACCTGCTCCCTTATCACCTCTGCTCCCCCTGTCAGTCCGCACTTCATCCTTGGGTCCCCCTGTCTCCCATCTCCCCACCATGCTGCTTCTGCCCTTGCAGC